AACATGTGATTAACTTTTTGATTAAGTTTCTTACCTATTAATTTATATTACATAGTCTAATTTTATATAAGAGGCATGACTCTATCTATCTTTAATAAGTTAATGAGGACTCCTATAGTAGAATATCTATATTTATTTTATATTTATTCTTATATTTATTTTATATTTTTTAGAAAGATATTTATTTACAATTTTTTAACACTTCATTATAATATTCTGTTATACTTTACTTTATATAATATAGCATTCTTATAATAGGATATCAAAGCTAGAAATATGATAGAAAGAGTGTGTTACAATGTAATTATTTTTTAGTCATAAGTATAAGACTAATGGATCTAGTTATAACACAATCTAAGATGCTAGTTAGACTAGAAAATTACAAATCATAAAAAAATACAATTTAAAGTGTATTACAGAAGAAGGATCTTTAGAAGATAGTTACTTCAACAAACACAATATTATAGAATATATCCAATAGCAAAATATCATCAAGCACAATAGTGACAAGACAAACAATACTAATATCACATTATATCTTAGAAATAAATATCTTAGAAATAAGAAAAATTCTAAAAAAAGAAAATAAGAGCCATAGGCTTTTTTAAGGTATTCTTGATTGACATGATAAAACCATATATCTTATATATAATTGATCTTTGAAGTGCTTGGAAAATCCTTGCTAATGTTTATTCAATGCAGTCCATCACAAATATGATGAAAAATTTGAATAAGTAGGAAAGCCTTAGAATGTCAAATAAAATAATAATATCTATCTTTATGCAATACATATATGTCTTTTTGAATGATCTAAGGAAGATCAATAAATTACCATAGGACATTGTCATAATTCATAAGGTATTCAAAAATCTTCTTGTGAAATTTGAAACCTTTATAAAAATATTACATTCAAAAAAGATTATTATAACTCTTGTAAGCATGAAAAGCAACCTATATATAAAAGATTTTGAAATGAATCTTCAAACAAAACAAAACAAAGATGCACTATCATTAAAATTCAAAAGTAACTTTGAAGACAAATCATAAATAAATTTTAGACAAAGAGCCTTGACCTCATCAAACACTCCATCTTGTATCATAGTACTGCAAAGTTGACCATTATACAAGTATGTAGGTAAAAAATGTAAAGAATAATTATATCATTGATGTAGAAAATTAAAGCATATAGCTCACTTTTTTTGAGTGTAAGAGTCAAGCCAATAACATTTAAGAATAAATTATGTAATTTATTTTTTAAATAATTATAATTCTACATCAAATGAGATACAAAAAGCTTTGCAAGCACTATTGGTAGTTTCTTTACATGATAGAGAATAGATTATTAATAGTAGCACATTGTCATAATATGTGGTATTTGGCTTGAGAATGTACTGGGCACCTAGCTATGGAAGATAAAAGAAAAATTACAACAACAAGTCTTAACAACTTTAATAAATTCTTAAAAAAATTATAATTAAAAATTAGCAAATACAATCAAACATCAAATCAAATTCAATCAAAATTTCTAAGAAATTATGTAAGAAACATAAAATATTCTTAAAGAATCTTTAAAGAAATCATAAAAAAATAATATAGAATTTAAAAATATACTAAAATAGAAATTTCAAATCTTAAATAATTCCAAGTAATTCCTATTGCAAATTTAAACCAAAATAACTAATGAATGAACCATTGATTTTAACTCAAATTTTGTACACCTCTTAACAATTAAGTTGATAACAAGCACAAAATATTTGAAGAAGATTGGACTCACCAAAAAGAAGATCAATCATAATATTTGCTTGGATATTTGCTGGCCTCCTTCAATCTGAATGTTAAATTTCCAACATTAATATCTCCTTATTAAACCATTTGATTGATTTTAAACTTCTGATATACATAGAAAAATAAGTCTGTTATCTATACATATAATTTTCATTCCAATCCAACTAATAGATTGCAAGAAATCTTAGAAACCCTCACTGGACCTAAAACTCCACTTTTCAAGACCTTGACCCACTTAAACCTTAATAACTCTTGATCCAATCCTTCAATCAAGCTCAAACTCATAGCATATATTGAATACATATATATTCACAAATCCTCAAAATTTCACTTGCAAATCTACTGCCAAATATACAAAATTCTCCAAAAATTATCACCCACTTTAATTCACAAATCCAGAATCACCCAAAACTAACTCCAACTTTGCAAAGCTCTTACAAAGCCAATATATACTCAAATCACAGAAAATTAACATTAAAAAAAAATCTATCAAATCAGCTCCTAGACTTTATCCTTCAATCTCCCAAAGAACCCCAAAATCATTGTTGAGGCTTGGTTTTGTGCCTTGAGGTCTGATTTTGATCTTGGTTCATAACTCGCCTTCTTTGGGTATCAATACCTAGTTTTTCTAAGTAATTTTTGCTAAAATTTACTCTCAACTTTTTCTTTAAGATGCCTATATCATTTATTTTTTTAATCTAATTTGATTTGCCTTATTTATGGCTCTACAAAATAAGTAGAAGTCACTTTTCTAAAAAGGTAGTATTACTTTTAAAAGTTTTACTACCTTCTTATCTTTTATCTATATTTTTTTACTTTATTTTTTAACTTGGCTCTTCTATAATAATATCTATATTATGATCTTTCACCATATATTCATGTTACAACATGATAGTCAAAGCATTTTTCTAAAAAATTAATTTTTTTTTTTGAATTTAGAAGTACTAATTCATTAAAATAGAGTAGCCATTGCAAATGATAAGATACTTTGATGAGAAGGCTAGGCAATATAAACATTGTTGTTCAAAATGAAAAAATAATCTATCTTAAGGACATTCTTTATGTGCTTGAAATAATTTGTTTTTTTTATTATTGATAGGACAATATGTGAAAAATATCAATCAACTATTGATCTTAGAAAAAGAATAGTATATAGCATTGATTCAATCAAATCCATTAAAGCTAGTGACACTAAGTTATTATGATGAAAAAATATCCTCTATATAAATATAATACAAAATCCAAAATTTTAAAATAGAAAAATTTTCCATTTTAGAAACCATAGCAAAAAATGTGAAGTAATTCTTGTCATTGATCAAGATAATAAAACATAATTATATAATATTGTACTTCTATTCAAATATAATATTGATTTGGAGTAGATCACCTATTTATGGTATTTTTACCTTAGCCATGTAGGATATTTTATATTCATGATGATAGATTCAAAATACACACCAATATTTAGTATAAATTAGATTATGTATCAATATTGTCTAGAAATGAAATAAATCCAAGAAGCTATACCTAGATTTGGAGCCAACAGATTAAAGAAAAAAATTTAGAATTAATTCATGTGAATTTATTTGGCCTATTATCCATTGCAATACTATCAGGTATTTGATGTTTTTAACTCTTAGTTGGTGATTATACTAAAAATATTTCATATATATATGAATATTTAATGAAAAAAAAATTACAACAAAGATTTATATTTGGTAGTTTTATTAGTTAAGATAAACAAAAAAAAAAACTATAGAATATATTTATAGCTTTTATAAAAAATTATTAAGACTAAAAATATAGTTTTTGAAGAATCTAAATATGTTGATATGAAAATATTATACAAAACAATAAATCAGACAAGTACTATTATGAGATAAATCATAGCTTGTCTATTAAGCATACTATTCTTTCAAGTTCAAAATAGCCACAATAGTTGCAAATAGACCTACTTACTAGGACTGCAAATCCAAAAAACAACCAACAAACTATCTCTCTTTTCGTTCATCAAAAAGACTAAAATCTATCAATAATCTAATTTAGCTATCTAAAGATGGATGGTTCATAATAGAAGCTCATCCATGCAACTATAGCTACTACCTTCATCAAGTAACTCACCTTCATCTCTGCAGCAACAATATTTTGGTCATATATCAGCAAATTTTTACTGAAAAAAAATTATATATAGATATTACCGCGGAGATGTCTTGATTAGATTTATTATCAATTGCAACCTCAAATCTATACATTTTAGATCAAAAGTCACTACATCCAATATGAATGTCACTAACCATGACAAGAGTTGGCCAACAAACTCGATAGCTATGTTTGCTACAAAATCACTTTATTTGTCTTATGAAGATTCCAGACTTAGAACCAACAACATATCATGAGGTTGAATATAAGCAATAGCTAATGAAATAAAATCTATTTATAAAAATAAAACATGTCATCTTATAACTCTTCTACTAGATAAAATTTCCATCTCCATTGAATGGGTCTACAAAGCAAAACTCAATATAGACAGATTCCTATAAAAATACAAAGCCAAATTAGTAGTCCAAGGCTTTGAATAAAAAGAACGAATTCACAATGAAGAAACCTTTGCATCTATAATAAAATGGATAAAAATTAGAGCTATGATATCAATTATAATTCAAAAGAATTAGAAACTACATTACATGGACATCAAAACTACATTTCTTTATAGAGAATTAAAAGAAGAAGTTTATGTCATTTAAACTCAAGGTTTTGAAGTATTATTAAAAAAAATTGGTTTATAGATTAAATAAGGCATTATATGGATTAAGACAAGTATGGTACAAAAAAATAGATTCTTACTTATAAGAAGTAGGTTTTCAATAAGACACATGAAATCACAACCTATATTCTAGATTATCACAAAGAAAAATCATTTTCATTGCTCTTTATGTAGATGACCTTCTAATTATTGATAATTAAGCAAAAAACTTGCTAAAATTCAAAGAAAAATTATATAATAAATTTAAAATGTTAGAATTATTAAAAAATAAAAAAACCCTCTATATTTAAAATCAAAATGCATACAAATAAAAGATAAATATTTATGATACAAAAAGCATATGCATAAAATATTTTTTCTAATTTTGAAATAAAAAATTATGTTCCAATAAAAACTTTTATGGAGAAAAAAAATCCAAAATTAACATGGAAGAAGTGGATCCAACAAAATATTGAAGTAGTATAGGAAAATATCTCTATTTAATTCATACTCTACCTAATATACAATTTGCAACATGAATTGTCTTATGACAAGATTTCAATAATTTCATGTACTTGCTGCAAAGAAAATACTATGCTATGTTAAAAGCACATAAGACTATAGAATTCTATATTGTAACAACAATCAAATCAATCTTTTGAAATATGTGGATCAGGATTGCCTTGGCAACCTAGAACAAGCTAAATCCACTAATAGGCTCATATTTAGCATTGAAACTAGGCCTATTTCATAGTCATTAAAAAAACAATTCATTGTAGCATTATTATCATCAAAAGCAAAATATAGAACTCTAGTTCATAGATCACTAGAAGCTTCATGGTTCACAATGCTACTCAAGGATTTGAATGTAGAAATAGAACTACTAGTAGTCATACATTGCAATAATATTGGTAGTATCAAGATAGCTACAAATCCAGGAGTAAACCTCAAAACAAGACACATAATAGAACACTATCACTTTACTAGAGAAAAGTTAGTTACTAGAAAAGATTCAATTAGGAGAAGTCTCACATATGTACATAGGAATAGGTGGCAGACACTTTTACAAAACTTTTTGGAAGAGCTTTATTTGAAAAGTTCAGAAAAAACTGAATGTAATAAATATATATAGTGTAACCAGATTGTAATCCTAGAACTTGTTTAATATATCTCTTTCTACATCAACCCTGGTCCAAAAGACCTTGAACTTAGCGCCTTTAAAACCCTTCACTTCAACTTTGCAATCAAACCAGGACATGTAGATTCCAAGATTAAAACCCTTCTAAACTGCGTAAAATTTCTTGCAACTATCATCATCAGAGTAAGAAACATCTTGTGGTACAACTTTTGTTTTTAACAAATCAGTTGAAATTTCAAAAGAGGGACTCTGGTAGAAATAAGAGTGTACTGGCAACAATTTCGTTTTGTCTAGAAGACATAGTCGAAGAACAAAACATTCGGCACTCTAGTAGGTCCAGCAACGAATTACAAACACTCGCCATAAAGATCACCATAAAGGTGAAATCACAAGAATGAAAGTTTGACACTCCAACAACAGTTTTCAGATATCATCAACAAAGAACGCACAAATAGTTACCGAACAGTAGAAGAATGTTTTTGAAACTCACCGGCGTGTTGCGACATCATTCTTGGATCTGCGCCATTGTCTCACATCGCAACCACAGTCGTACAAAACCCAGAAGTAGTATCAAACCCTCAACGCAGCAATTTTTAGAATTCCGTGAGCTAACCCAAAAGGAGTATCTAGATAAAAAGAAACGTAACCAAGCTACATAGGTGTTGACGGTGTTGACGAAATGCCGCAGTATCTAAGATCTCTACCTATCGCATCGGGTATGAACCAAGAACTAGATATCAACCAGTTAGTAACAAATAGTCTAATTTTGTATAAGAAGCGTGGCTCTCTCCATCATTAAGTTGACGAGGACTCATGTACTGGAGTGGCTGGGTTTACTTCATGTTCATTCATGTGTTTACTTTGTGTTTATTAGCGAGTTACTCGTCTACAGTTGCTTGGCGCTTCACCGCAGAACTCTGTTACGCTTCGCTTTGGGTAACACATTGTTCTTGTAACAAGTAGTTGCATCCATTCCCCTTGGATCAACTTCCAAATTGGACAACATAGTCTGATTCTCATTGCCCAATGGCAGCGACTTGAACATGTCCACAGTCCTTGACTTCAAGATGAGCCCTTCTTCCTGCCAACCTTCATCACCAAACTGGAAGACAACTAAGCCTTGGAAGATTGGGTTGCACAAGTCAAGCCGGAACACTATGATTACTTGCAGGTTGATGACAAGATAGATTAAGGCAAGCGTCCACACTCAGTACGTCAAGCACGCACGACTATATCCAACAATTACAAACCTCGTCGGGACCAACATTCCCTGAAGTATCACCCCAGGACTTAAAGCCGATTGGGTAATATCAAAAACTTTAACAATTTTTTGATTCTAGGGGAACAACTCTATATGATGTGACGATCAGTTTCAGCCACCGCCGGAGAATAATAACTGCAAGATTATCAATTTAGAAAAGACAAGCAATGTAGAAAAAAACACTAAAACCGAATGAGGAAGCTTCGACGCTCAAAGGATGCAAAAACAAGAGGGAAGCCGGAAAAAGACGGCGTCGCAACTTCACCGCAGGGTCGCCAGCAAGCGTCGAAGAAGGACCAAGCTCGGGCCCTCCAGTCCCCCTGAAACACAAAGAGGGGGAAAAAAAAAAAAAAAAAAAAAAAAACAAATACTAGAGAGTGCAACAACTAGCACCTCGACCGTTGACAGCAGTTGCAACGTCGCCACGGCCCCGAAGAAGATAACCGCAATAAGAAGAACCGCCGTTACATACCAAGAGAGAGAGGACCAAGAATCACAACAGCGGCCCGAAAGAATGTCTAAGACGTCAGCAATAGTCTTGATCAAGAAAACCAAGACAACAACCAAGTCAAGGATCATAAGGGCTAGAGCACCTCCGACCTCAACGCCGCTCACGTTTCCACCGCAGCCGAAGATGGCATCGAGCTCAATACACTTGAGTTAATACAAGGGTTGCACAGACACTTATTAGGCAACCAATGTAGCCATGATGTCGATAAACAGAACCAAGTTGGTCATTGAGCCTCAACACCACCAGAATCTAGGAACTTGTAGAACCATCACCAAGACGCAACTTAGAAAACAGGCACTTGGCTTCAATTGCTCGCTACTTAAGAAGCCCAAATCCTTGTCAATGCCATGCCTGATCCGTCAATAACCATCACAGACCTGCAACAATAAAAAATTGAAAAAAGATGAACAAGAGAAATGCAGCAGCTTCACCGCATTTGACACTACCGCCACACCAGGAATTAGAACGCGAGAGACCACAAGAACAGGAAGAGCAACCACCAACAGCTCCACCGCTGGAACCGCAAGCGCGAGAAAAAACCAAACTGGCGACACCACCGTAGAACCAGAGAGGAAGAGTCAAGCACAACGAAGATGGGAATCGAGAACAAGTGAGATGGACAAGAAAACTAAGAGAGTCCGGCAGCCAGCCAAACCCCCCTCAACGGCTTGTCTTCCCTCAGCAAATTTTGGATCAGCTCACATCAACCTCAGATCTGCTGCCTCTAAACCGTTGCTTGCACCACCAAAGGAAAACTCAGAGATGTTGACCAGGCTACGTCCACCACCTTCCAGCTATTTTAATTCCATCCATCAATATAAATAAAAGGCATTCACTACTCAAATGTTTGGAGCTTCTCTTGTAGCTAAATTCTAGAACATAAAACTATTAACTACAACAAATGTAATAAGAATTGAGAGAATATAATTATTATAAAACTTTATATAAAATTCCTACAAGAAGTCACATTCTCACAATTAATACTACTAATCCACTCATATAGAATTTCTTACACCCATTTCACCTAAAAATTATGGTTTTTGTCACTTAAAGTGTTCTTTTTTGTTCAAAAACTAAAAGTGGGCTATTTCAATGACCTACATCTTAAGATTGTTGATAAGCTTATAAAAATCTCTAATAATTGCAAATTGATTCATATTTCTACAAGGTGGAGTATCCATAACTTTTCCTTCTATTTTTACAATAGACAATTTAAAAAAACCCACAAGTCAAATTAGAAGAGGATAATCCACAACCTCTAATATCAAATAAAAATTTCTATAAAAAAAAAAATAGTCTACTCTCTTTAAAGAAATAATCAATTTTAGAAGAAAAAAAAAATAATGTAAAGATAGGTAGTTTGTAACTTTTAAAATAAAACAAAAGAAGTAGTATAATTTACTCACCTAAAAAAAAAACAAAAATAGTAAATTAGTACTTTTGTCAAATTATCAAGAAAATAAATCATAAACAACCAAAAAATCAATATACTCTTGTGTTACTAAAAAAAATAAATAATCACTTAAAGATAATATAATATTAAAATTAGAATAATATATGCAACATGTGGTTAACTTTTTGGCCAAGTTTTTAATCTATAAATTTCTAATAGACATCTATAAAATCAAATTAATATCTATAAAGCTTTTGAGAAGCTTTTTTACAAGATGTTATCAAATTTACCTACTTTTATTTACTTCTTATTCTTCTTATCTAAGTAATTAATATTATCAATTATATCTCTGACATAAACACTTGAAATGGCTCAAAAGATGATGGCTCTCTCATTGTAGACAAAGCCGTCTTCATAACTTGAGCTATTTGTGATACAATGAGTGAAGTACTACTATCTAAAGCTATTGTAAGTACTTTTCTTTTATATCTTTAGATGATGTCTTAACTTTTATTTTTAGTAGATCTTTTTTATTTATCACAAAAATTAAATAAAAAATAATATTATTAGTTTAAGATTACACTCTAAAATTTCTAATTCTTAGTTCTAAATTATTAACTTTTATTTCTAAAAATTAATTATTAAATTCTATATCATTAATAAAAAATAATTCAAAAAAGATCTAATAAAAACATAGTTTAAGAAAAAAAAAATCTGATATAAAACAAGAAGGAAAGACTCAGTATAAAAACAAATCTTAAGAAAAAAGAATGGATAAGTGTAAAAATAAAAGTTAGAAATAATTAGTGTAAATAGATAAAATTAATTTAGTTAAAATAAAGTTAGATTTATTAATACCAACTAATAAAAAAATAATATTAAAAAGGCAGCATCATGTAACAAAACTCCTTTTATATTCACTTGATTTTTGTATTTTGTTCTTTTATTATGGCATCTAGTTCTTTCATGTATTCAATGTTGGCCTTAATGAGCTTAAGAATCTTGATTTAGTGTTAAAGAGTCTCTACCATCAAAGACACCCAAGTTAATATCTTATAGAATCAAAACTAATTAACAAACTGTTATTAAGAGCCTCCTTGGAATTGGCACACAACCAAATAGAAGATACTTTAGATAAGTTCTTCTAACTTTGTCATTCTTTTTTCTCTAAATTAGATGGTTTTTCTTTTGGTCTTGCTTTTTTCTTTGATTTAGGTAGAAGGATATCTTTTTCTTTTTTCCATTCTAAAGATTGCATTTTCAAACCTTCTGAATGTAAGAGTTTGTATTGAAGCAAGACATTTTGTAATCATAAAACTTTTCTTCTAAGTAGAATACAATTTTTGCTATACATTGGAGATAAATTAAATAAATTTTACTCCACATATTTTTGGCACTTATACAACTTGTTAATCTTGAAATAATTTGAGAAGATATATCCAAAATAATAAGCATTCTTACATTGGTGTTTTTTTCTTCCAACACATCAATGTGTTTTTGTAACTCACTTTACAAATATATGTTCTAAGCATAGATAATTGTTTTCTTTCAAGTCTAGTGACTATTTTTTTATTTTTTTTATTTTTTTTAAAGAAAATTAGAACTTAATATGTATATGATATTTCTACACAAAAAAAATTCTATCTAAAATTTTAATTCCAAATTTCTTTTGCTTCTTTATTATGTTCATAAATATCCAAAAAACAAAAAAAAAACATATTATAATTAATATCAAGAAGTTTTTATTAATTTAATAAAAATAATTAGTAAAAAATTATAAAATAATTATAAAATAAATAATTTAATTAATTAATAAATATTTAATAAATTTAATTAAAATTATTAATAATTAATTAAAAAATTAAATTTAAATAAATAATGTTAGTTGATATGAAATCACAATTATTGAATATGTACTTATATAAGAAAATTAAAAAATATATTAACACTTTGCAATTTTTTGTTAACAAATGATATAGCAGCAATGATTATAAATATTTTTAGAAAGAAATTTTTTTACACAATACAAAGTCATTATAGAGGCCCATAATTTATTAAATATTATCAATTAATCATAAGTATATATAAATAATCTTCACACATACACTTTATAAATATGTGTAGAAGCACTTTAAGCAATTTTACTCAATTTGAATATGAAATATTTTTGCATGGATCCAAAGCTAATAGTCGCTTGGTTAGACTAGTTCTTATCTTTCTTTTTGAATTTTTGATTTTTACTCCATCACTATATCTTATTTGGTGTTTACTATTGAAAAATACTAAAAAGATAATTAATTAAGATTTTAGTTGCCAAAAATTCCTATAGATTAGTATGTCTTCATATTAGGGTTGGAAATAGCTATTGCAATGACCCATAATTGTTGATCCTTAATATTAAAAAGAGAACATAAGATGCTACTGAAAGGATCCTCCAAACCAACCATACTCCTTGCACAACAATTCAAACATCAGCCCCAATAGGATACAAACTACCAAATTGCTTAGCAAAATAAAAAAAACTTAGAGATAAAGCTAATTTCAATGATGTGATAACTAAACCACTTCAAGAAACAACCTAAAATAAGATCAATAAATGAAATAAATGATGACATGACTTTATGACTATGTTGGAAGGAAGTACTAAGTAAGAACATTTTAGAGATATAGGAGGTAGGATTAATTTTCTATTCCCAAAAGTGCCAACTTTGTATTCCATATCTCTTAAAAAACCACATTGGAAAAGATGAGGTGTCAAGATAGTCGATAAATAATCACATAGGAACCAAGTATGGATGAAAAAACAACCATCTATATGACTAGTCAATTATTGGGAAGAATATAGATTGTAAAGAAACATGAGGTTGTAAATGCATTTTCTTTGGCTAAAAAAGAGAAGATATGCCAAATAAAAAAGATTTGTAATTGCAATAAAAAATAGGGCTAAATTATTGAGCTTGAGTAAAAAAAAAAATAGAAGTTGTATAATAAAAGAATGTTATTAAGTGATAAATTTAATTAGATTATTAATTTTGGTAATAAATAGTAATTTATATGGATAATAATGGCTTTAAGGATTAAAAACCATAGTTAATTAGAATCAAGTATTGAAAGATTAATTAACATAATTAATTAAAAAATTACCATATAAAACTTAATCTATTGTCATATTGCATGATTTTCTATCTAGAAATATATTGAATATCAAATTATAGAAAATTTAGCTTTAATTTATTGGCCAAGTCAAAAAAGTGATTTATTCTTATTATAAAAGATAAATAAATAAAATAATATAAAAAAATATTCTACTAGTAAACCTTTTATATTTTCTCCCTAAACTTTAGAATTTTTCTTGATCCAATAATTTAATTTTTTTTAAATTTCTAGATAATATATTATTTATTCTTAATCTTTACTATAAAAAAATTAAATTATAAATTTACTACAAATCATAGAATATCTTAGAAATTTTAGTACGTACTCTAAACTCCAATTTATAAGTACTTGAGCACTATTTTCTTCATATATTAAAATCCAAAACTCAAATATCTTAAAATTTAGTATGTAGCTTTACAACATAATAATACATATTAAAAAAATTTAGCCAAAAATTTGTCCAAATACCTAAGATATGGCTAGAACCAAATCCTTCATGAAATTAGTTCCCTAATAAATCTCAATATAGAAGCATTGTCTTCAAGCAATCATTGCTCTTCTAAATTAATTCCAAACCTTTTTTTTTGGCATGCAAAATATAGCCTTTTAAACCAAATTTTCAACCGCACAATTCAATCTTCAAAAGATCTTCATATGTATGTGCTATGCTCCAAAGATTGATAATAGATACAAAATCAACACCTTGACTTTGAACGCCTATATTTCCTTCATAAAAATTCGAAAATTATACAAAATTTTCATCAAAACTATATCCAAAATTTTAAACTTAACAATTCTAATCTTTGATGTTCTAATAGTATCAAAAGAATAATCTTAATTTCTAATAAGACCTCGAGCAGCCTCTTTGAAGTCCATTGGGCATGAATTTTTGCCAATAAGAATGGAGATTTTTATTATCTATCTCCATTCATCCATATAATTATCCTAATTATCATTTTTTATACAAAAATTCTTCTTTAATCTTTTTTTTAATAAAATTTATATAATATTTGTCCTAAATATCAATTAAATAAATAAAATAAGATTTCAAGAGTCACAATATTTAATAAAGATGGCTCTAAAATATAAAAACTATTATTAAATTTTAAATCAATATCAATAATAGTATTTTTAAATTAACTACTTTAAAATAATAATCTAACCA